CTTCTGAACCTTTATACATGCTGCTATTTCTATTTGGCATGTCTTTCCACCCTTGACACTCCCTTCTCGCAAAAAAGAAATACCTTTCAGTGAGTAGAACATATTCAATACTTATTGAAGGGCTGACCTTTGAATATCATTCTTGGACTAAGAAAAGATTGTAAAGGAATTATAGCTGTAACATGCAGGTTTTTCTCTTCCCCGAGTCCTCCATTTCTCCTTCTCTCTGGTTCATTTTGGGAGTGCATCCTGCAATTTGCTATTATTTAGTTTTTAAGAGCCCTGATCTTAATAATGGGAGCTGGAGCCTAAAATCATGTCAGCAGTATGTATTTACTAGTCAGCAAACATTTCCTGATTCATTAACTTTTTGTTCAAAAGCTTTCCTTAGCTTACAACATCATTCAGAGTAAGATCTTATGATGACTTTGAAGTAGTCTTACATGATCTGCCTCCTCACTCTCTCTCTGACCTTATTTCCTATTAATACTTTCCTCATTCATTCTGTCTCAGTCACATTGGCTGCCTGCCTGTTCTCAAGCACTTTAGAAATAAAGCTACTTCAGGACCTTTGCATTTGAGGTCTCTTAGATTCTTTTCTCCTAAACAGCTGTGTGTCATATGTTCTCACTTCCCTCTGGTGTTTACTGAAATGTCACCTTCTTGGGGAGGTTTTTCCTGCTCAAAAAATACAAATTTGCAATCCTTCCCTATGAAATTTCATTCCCTGTCTGTGCTTTCTTTTCTTCTTCAGCTCTTATGCCACTTGAGCATGCCATATACTTTACTTTTGTATGTTGTTGTTGTTTTTTTCCCTAATGAGAATGTGAGCCCCGTGAGCGTTGAAATTTGGGTCACTTTTGTTTATTGCTGTAGCCCTAGTTCTAAGCACCTAGCACACAATAGCTGCTCAGTAACTGTTTGCTAATAAGTGATTTGTACCACCACTACTGCCATTTAGAAGCATGATAGACTGTCACTCTCTGTCACAAAGATTGTTTTTCCCTCTCCTGAGACACAGTATGGGTGATTTTTTCCCCCTTCTTATCCTTTGTCTTCTGCAAGAGAACCTCAGGAGTGATAAACTTGCATGTTCCATTCTTCTTCTTTGAAAGAACTATGCAAACTAGGACAAATTGTTTGCATTTTCTTGGCTATAGACCTCAGGATTTTTCATCTGTAAAAAGAATATTCCCTTTTCTCCCTATAGTCTTATAGTTGGATTAAATGCAATATTATAAATAAAAAGCACTTAGTGCTGTACAAAGCATAATTCATATTTGAAAAATTATGTATATTAGCTCTCCTCCTTTATTTCCCTTTAGAGTTAGAAGTTTTGTTTTGTTTTGTTTTTTTATCAAAGAAGCTTAATATGCTGCAATAAAATAGTGCCTTGGAAAAGCTCATGGAATAGATGTCAACGTTAGAGAATCCCCTCCCACACCTCCTCTGGCTCCACATCCCATCCCTCAAAACCAAACAAGAGAATCTGAAACGACACAGGAAATCCTTCCAAGCTTGGATTTCAGCGAGGGCCCTTTTACCAATAACAATAACACAGTTTCCTACATGGACCAATAGGAAAGTAAAACACAGAAGCACAGAAAGTCTACAGGATTTCACTATTTAAGAGACTTGCTACCTATTCAAAGTTAAAATAACTCCAACTTTTATAGCTATACATTACTGTTTTAAAGCAACTTAACATATCTTTAAATTTCATATATACACTCCCAAAGGTTCTTCAGGTGAGGTATGTAAACATTGTTTTAAAGAAAATGCATTCAGGTAACAACTTATTATGCAATAAAGTGGAGTGAGGCAGTAAAGATACTATGAGGTTTGTTCTTTAGAAAAAGGTGAAATTTCTCTATCAGCTTCTAATGCAGTGTGAGTATTAATGTGCCGCAGTAACGTTTTTCACACCCTTCGGTTCTCTGCCATCTTCTTCCTGGTTGTCTCTTAACTAAGGAAATTGTACTGGTGATTTGCTGAGCATTTTGTGTTTCTAAGGTTAGTACCTTTGTGAAGATTTCTCCAGATGAAGGATCCAATTTGAAGAGAATGTCCTGGTTTGTTTATTGTAGCTATTTCCCAATCACAACATGACATCTAGATTTCCTATCCGTCTAGATAACTGCTGGCCATTTAATTATAGCCTGAGTAGTATGAAGCAGATGTTTTTAGTACACCTTTGAAAGTCCTCAGGAATTTAGTTAAAGACTGCAGCATGCCTAGGGCCTTTCACTAACCAGAAGCCTATTCTGCACAGGGACCAGCTTGAGAACCAGACTGTTTCCCTGGTCTGTGTGCACAAATGTGTGACGATAGGTGTATATAATTGCATTGCAGATGGATCAGTCCTTGGGTCCCGGGACCTTCAGAGAAACAAAGAAAGAGAACTAATGTGTCTATCCTCTATAACAACTAGTAATATTATGGTCCTTTTCAGCCCACTTTTGTACACACTATGACTTGTTATTATGCTCAGAGTTTGAGGACTTACCATTTTATCTGATTGTATCTTCTGCATGTCACTAGAAATAGTTCTTTTTCTAATCCCCTAAATGAATATCAAAATAAGATCAACAGGATACTCTAATTCCAAATGTTCAAAGCATAAATTTATGCTATCTATTATAAGTAACCTTAATGGATAATCCTTTCAATGCCCTTAAAATTCAAAGTCAAATTAATCATATAGAAAAATATGGTTTTCATCCTGGAGAATATTTAGGGGACTAAAAGAAAGTTTAAAAAATAGAAAAATGTGGTTTACGTAGTTGTCTTTATAATTATAATCTATAACAAAACAGACAAAGGTTAAAAGATTATAAATAAATAATCATCATACAAAGATGCTTAAGAATCTCAAGAAGTATGTATGTCAGCTGACTTAGGCAGTGAACACTGTCAGTGCTTTGCTAATCCTTCTATACAAGACAAGATTGCACCTTTATACAAGATAGGATTTATTCTCGCTTCCTCTTCCTACACTGCCCTTCTCCCGGTGGGAAAGGAAGTACAGAGTGCCAGCATCTTTCAGGAACTCACACTGAGATGGGACAAAGTATGGTGCAGTTAGAATTTTGTTGTGGTGGCTTTTTGTTCGTTTGTTTGAGTTTCTTTTTAGGCAGGAGGTACTAAAACTGTTGGTTAGGTACATTTGTAGGTTCTAGAGCTATCTGTTGACAAGTTGTGGAAGCCTTATGATGTTAAGAATTATTGAGCATTTCAACTCCAGAGGACTGAAGTGCCCCTATTGATAAACTAAGCTTGATAAGAAATACTTTAAAATAGATTGACTTTAGCAGCTTCCTTCCACCAGAGTTGAAGGGGTAATAGAAGTATGATGAAAAGGGTATCTCCTTTCCTACTGTGTCCTAGTAACTTATGTTCCTGTTACCATCTTATTCATTCTGTGTACCTTTCTTTAAGTACTTCACTCTACCAAGGTTGCTTCTTTCCATCACCCATGCTCTTGTCTCTCACATCAGTGTTGAAGGATAGCAGAAGTGAGCGCCTGGACGTTTTTAAAAAGGCAAAAGGGAAACTGCTGTTAACCCTTCTAACTATGTGGATTCTCTCCCCTGCTTTGATCATGCTGTGGGGGAAATAGGCAAGAGTACTGCATGGCTATGCAATGTCATTTCATAAAATGCCTTCCCATCTTTTGTCTTGCTGGCAAAATGCTTGGGAACTCTTTGTTAACTATCAGAAGTGTCTGCTCCAGTTACTTGATGATCACCCTCAGCAGTGACCATATGGCTCGGCATCTTAAGCACCAGACTATGACTTAGGAACTATGTTTTAATGTTCAAGAGTCCATCTTCTGTATTGATGCCAGCTGAGCCACCATCCATAAAATGTGAATAATAAAATGAACTACTCTGGAAGGTAAAGAACAGCAATAAATTCTTCCCATCATTCTAAAGTGATATAAATGTATGATAAATTATGGTACAGACCACAATGGAAGGAATACATAGTGAGTACTTTAGAAGATGGATGTCTTTGATTTGGGGATTACTTTTGATATGATTGGCCTGGCAATAAATTCCTTGGATATATGTATGTGTGTGTTATGTGTGTAATATTAAACCAGTAAGTCCCAAACTTTCCACTATTAATATCCTCTTATCCTGCCCCTTCACTCATATACATCTCATATGTAAAAGATTCTGTTAACTCCAAACTTGTATTTATTAATAATAACAACTACATTCCTCCACATAAAAGTAATCATCTTCAGAACTTATAGCTATCAGATAATAGCTGCTATTATTATGATTGTTACAACTTGAGACAGAGAGGACAAAGTTAACATTTTTGTTACACAATGAAGGCCAATTGTGAGCAAGTTTATGGTCTTGATGAAATAGTCAGCAGAGCATAAACATCTTCCTTCCTATGTTTTGGGATTTCTAGAAGTCCAGCGGCAACAGACTGGGAAGAACTTAATAAGACATTGCTCAATTCAGCCTTCAGGTGCAGGGTCTCTAGGCAAGTATAGTTCTTAGAAAATTAGAGCATGATATTATTCATGTGTTTATAAAAGTCTTTGGATGACTTATTCCACAGAATAAGCTAGGTATAACAGCAATATTTTGACACAGTTGTAATTTACAATGATTAACTTTAAGTAAGTCAAGAGAAAGCATCTTTTTTAGTGATCAGCTTTGAATGTGTGTTGTAAAACCTTCATGGTCACGTAATTCTCCATTCTTCATTCCTGATGATCCACAATTGAGAGCACTAGAGCAGCTTTTCTTTTCTTTAGAAGAAACACTAATATGTATTCTTAAATTTTAAAATTTGGAATATGCTATAAATTAGTAGATTTTTAAAAAATATTTAAGTAGTACATTTGCACTATTCATCTATCCCTAATGCAATTAAATTATGTGACAAACTAGGGTGGGGTAGGGTGTACATGCACTGAAGAAGCATCATGATCCCAAGTTGAAACATTAAGTGATAAATGACATTTCTTTCTCCAGAGACTGGATCCCCAATCACAGCGTCATGCATTGGATTAGGTAATTCTAAAACACCTCCACCAGGGCAAGCAGGAAAAAGTGTTCCAGGATACAATGGTAAGAAATGACCCTGATCATTTGAAATATCTAATTTTAATAAATTTGGTATTTTCTTGTTTCTAGTGTATATTATATTACATGAAATGTATTAGGGTGTTAAGTAAGTATTTGGTTGAATAAATGCCTTGTATTAAAAATGAATCCCTTAATTTTTGCAATCAAAAGTAAAATTGTATATTTACATGGATATGTTCTAAATGGCTGTCATAACCAAGAATATAATATTAGTTATGAGGCACGTTAAGAATATGGGTGTCAAATTACTACATGTGGAACACCCTTCTAGATGCCCAGCACTTTATGTGCACCCTTTCATTTAATGCTGAAATATATTTGATTCAGAGATATTATTGCTATTTTAGAGATAAGTTAACTGATGAATTAACAAAGAGACTGAATATTAATAATTTTCCTACAGTATGCAGCTGCTTAGATCCTGAGGACAATGCAAACCATTGTGTTTTATTTGCTCGCTTTCATTACAAAAGCTATAGTGTCTTCTGTTACATATGCTACCGTTTAATTTAGGAGTGAAGAAAAGCCATTTGAACCTTTGTTGTTTAAAAATATTTACAAAGAGTAAAGGTTCTAAAAGAAAACAACTCCTCAATGCTGGCCTTATGTGACAAAGAGATACAATAACCTTTCAATATTGTTTTTAAATTTATGGTAGTGATCATAATAGTCAAATAATTTTCTTTGGACTCCACTCCCTGGTGATATAATCTATACAAATATCTAAATTTTCAAACACTAAATTTTATTATTTCTAAATAGTAATAATTGTATACACTATATAAAGCTACTGTTTTATGATGTTACACAACAAAGCACTAACACAGTGCCTGCCAATAGAAAGACTGAATTAAGTCTTAGCTAGTAGTGCTACCAATATTTCAGAGAAGCCAGAGGGACTGACTTGATTTAGACTCACACATTCATTTTACAGACAAGGAAAATGAGGCAGAGAGGTTATATAATTTGCATAAGGTCACACAATTTGGCTTAATAGATTTATGAAGCAAACCTAGCTGTGGGGGAAAGAATATGATTCTTAACATATGTTTCCTATTTGCATATAAATTACAAAATTTGGAGATTTGTCTTTTGCTTCTCCAACATAAAAAATATTGTTTTTTCCTTCTAGGACAACAACTAGTTAAGAAAACATGGATCATTTGGTGTAACCTAACAGATATATTTATAAAAGATGCTTTAGATTTTTATAATTGGGTCAGAAATAGATACTCTGTGAAATTAAGTCAGTGACTTCAGTAGCCATGGAAAGGCAAACCTAGATTTAGTGAAATCCTCCATTTGAACAGTTCTGCCTTCCCTGTTCCTTTTATGAGAAAAATCTCTTCTGTGTTGAGACATTTTTAGGGGTTACTGATTGTGGGAAATGTGAAACACATTTCTCTTTTAGTATTTCAGTATCATTCTTATATCGAGTTGTAAGAAAGAGTTAGGTTTTGATGCCTCATGGAACTTCAATACAGAAGTTTCTCATTGTCTGAAAGCCCTTGGCTTGCAGACCACATAGGTGAAACAGTTATAACCAAGAAACCAGTGACTTTTTGACTGATGTTTCTCATGTTTTGTGGTTATTTAGAGAATTAAAAGCATAATGTGATATTTAATATTATAAGAAAAAAGCAGAATCCTTTTGAGAAAAGAAAAATAATCCTCCTTGTATAAAAAAATATCTAGCATAACAATTTCACACGCATTGAGTACCTTATGCAAGCTTATCACTTTATATATTAAATATTTTTTTATGAAAAAGAAATATCTCCCATTTTAGAGATTAAAAAACTGAAAAAGTTATTGAATGTGCCCAGGGACATGTAGTAATTTGGCCAGCGTACTAGGACTTGGGAAACACAGAAAAATTAGGCATGGCCTCCACTCTTAGTAAAATCACAATATAGTGAGATACAGTTACAATTATTACAGTTACAGTTATAATTGTGTCAAAATAGTTTTAAAACTAAGTGTTCCAGGGACACAAAAAAGGGAATGATTAATTTTGGGGGAGGACAGTGTCCTTCTCTTCTCATAACTGCTTAAATTAGAATTACCTGGATGAATGAAGCCACACAAAGAATCTATTAAAGGCTGTAAGATCATGATTTATTTTCAGATTCAGTTTGCACTAAGGGTTACTGAATGTGGATACAAGCTTTGATCTTCTAAACTCTTTCAGGATTTTATCAGGATAGCACAGAATGTATTGGGATAATATTTGGAAAGAGTAAATGGACTTAATACTGAATGTGGATACAAGCTTTGATCTTCTAAACTCTTTCAGGATTTTATCAGGATAGCACAGAATGTATTGGGATAATATTTGGAAAGAGTAAATGGACTTAATTTAAAGCTCCTACATGAATATTAAGCTTTAAATCAGAATAAGGGGTTTTTCATGGTTTTAAATGCTTTATTTTTATTGATTACAATATTTTTGGTCTATTTTAAAACATTGTCTTCTTCAATTTTTGAAAAGCTGAACATATTTTAAATGTTTCTAATAGAATACAAGGATAAACCTAAAGGACATAAACATAGATTATGAAATTACCAGCATGTTTGAAATGTAATGTCTTCACTTAAGGGAGATTTTGAAGGAAAATTTATGATTGTGTCAGGACTCAAATGCATGTGCCCTTTATATTTTTTGTATTGTTAAAATATCTTAGGTTCATAGTCTCACAACAATTAAAAGATTACCTTTTTAAACTAGATTTTTTGGAGTTGAATATAGAAAATATGAAAAAATGTTTAAGCTTTAAGGCTATGCATTTTTATTCAACTATTTATTTATTTGTGTTTTACTCTATAGTTATGATTTTGGATGACAACATGCAAAAACTGAAGGCTCGGTGCTTAGGAAATATTGTGGTAAAGTAAGCAAAATATTCAATACTACTATTTAAATGGGTAATATTTAGTGCATAATATTTAGAAAAATAGAATGATTGCTGTGTTATTACTTGTGAGGAGGCTGAAGAATGAGCTTGTGTGTTAAGAATTGTGTCAACTCTATGGTCATTTAAACATGGAGGCCTCATGAAATACAAAAAATTTAGACACAATTTTTAAAAAGATAAAGCTTGCATTTTTTTAAATAACTTTTTTCTGATTATACAAGTAATGCATAGATGGTAAAAGTAAATTGTACACAAAAAAATCTAAACAAGTAAATAAAGTTATTGTATTGCCACCCCTCAGCAATATACTGTTAATATTGTAATATATATGACTTTCCACTTTTTGACAAGCATTTTACATTGTTAAATCAGTTTAGTTATTTTTCGGTATTGTGGGTTTCCCTTAACCCTGTCTCAGGAGCATGTTTACTTTTTCCTCTGTCCCTTAAAAAATTTTATCCTCCATTGTAGGCTTCTTAGTTTTTTTTGAATTTTTATGATTATAAATAATACTGTATTGAACATCATTTGGGTTTTAGTTGTTCTTCTTTTCTGAAAATTACTATAGTATTAAATATATTTCTAAAACCGTAATTACTGGGTCAAACAGTAGCTTATTAGATAGCTACTGACTCACCAAATACCACCATTCCTTGTTATCATTTTTTATCATTGTTCATTTTGTAGGCAAGAGTGCTAAAATTTGAAGTGAAAATATTTAAATTTACTTGGATTAAATCAATACATGTACTTTAAAATTGTTATGCTAGTAGAAGCCGAAATGGAAGTTGATTTAGTTGGGGACACAAATATGTGACATTTGAATAATTGATAGACCTTGATTTAGTGCCTCTGATTAGAATGATATCGGCATCTTTCTTGATAGGGTTTAAGTAGTAGATTTGCCAGAATGAGCTGCTAAGAATAAAAAATATTTTATGTCAGATTTTTTAAAAGATTTTTTTCATTTATTTCTCTTAAAAGTCAAAAGAATGCATATTACTTGGCATTCTTAGATTGGTATAAGATTTCCCCCTCTTAATAAAATACTTTAAAGTCTATGAAAATTATATGAAAAGCAGTAGTTAGAAAAGAACATATTTCTTCAGGTAGAGATATTTTAACTTTACAAAAAGGTAATAGAAGAGATACACGTTATGATATAATTCTTCTCATGTTCCTATGTTATCAGTAAACATGTAAGTACTGTATTACTTTTTTTAAAGTTTCAATTTTAAGACAATATATCCAACAAGAAGGGGAAATTAAATATTGAATATACAGGTTGCATTTATATTTCTCTGAATCATAATCCATATTAACATAGAGCTGATTCAAATTTGACCTGTTTGGGGTAAAAACAGTAGGGGAGAGGGGAGGGCTTGCTAAAGAAATTAACAGTATGAACATGATTGTGGGTGAATGTTTAGCTTGCTTAGGGAATCGCATGGCTTTCAAGAGATTTTCAAAGCACTGCAGCAGCATATATTTTCATATAACTTCCTAACTATGTGAGTCATCCATTTCATAAAACAACTCCTGTAATACCCCAGAGGTGACATTTGATGCCAGCCCAATTTTAAATCCCTCATAGGTTCTGTCACTCTAATTATAGGTGGCTTTGCCCCACATCTATTCAGAGATAATAAGATATAGCAGTGCCCCACATAAACTATAATTTTTTCTTGTAGCCATTAGTGTTAGGTCAAGTAGTTGAAAGTAACACAACTATTGCCTTAAGCATTCCATGGTTTAGATTGTAATCAATTCAGAATGATTTTTTCCCCCTCTGTATTCCTAAGCAGGGGATTTTATGATACAGATCTCCAGGGTTCTGAGATTTCATTATAAATTACTGGAGGAGTCAATATGTGATGACAAACAGTGGAATGTGATTTCTCCCTTAGGTTAATGGTGAAACTAGATATTTGAAAATATTATATACATTATTGCATTATTAGTAGAAACGTGAGGTAGAAATAATCAGAATGAAAAAAGGTGCCCACCAAGTTCTCTCTCTCTCTCTCTCTCTCTCTCTCTCTCAACCTTTTTTGGGGAACTCATTTTTATCTATGTGAGCAAGAATTGCATTCTGAAGGCCACATTGCCAGCAGCCATTCCACTCTAACTCATCAGCCTGAACAGTATTCATGCATCCCAATTGCTGCCTGGAGTATGTGTAGGATGTTTTCATATTTAACATCTATCAGCAAGACTTGTTTGTGTAGGTCCATATTTAGAAAGAGTGATGATATGTGGAAACAAACAAACAAACAAAAACCTCCAAATCCTCCTGATTTTTCCAGCCTGTTTGTTACTGCATTCTGGAAATCACTGCTTTGCTCACCTGGGAATCCTGTTACTAGAAGGTACACATTTTAGTAGTTTCTAAACTACTATAGGCCCTAGGATATAATAAAAAGGAGCCCTGCAGTTTTAGTGTTTTACTAGATTAACTTGCATTCATAGAATTTACTTTTCCAGTAGAAGAAATGACTTCACATTCGTATGGATGTTAGAAAATTCTTTTGATTTTGAAACCTACTCCAAGGCAGTTAATTTAGTGAGAAAGTTATGGTATCTGAATTGCTATGAATTCAAAATGCTCATGAATTTTAGAAAGTGCTCCTATAATTGCATCCAGAGCTCCAAAGTGCAGAAATAAAACTATGAGTCAGTAATTTCCAGGCAACAGAGAGCAGGGCATGAAAGAAAATTTTAACTGCAATTGCTTTCCTCCATACCACAGTGCTCTCTGTTATTAAAGCCATAGTTCTCTGGCTCTTTCCCTCTGATGGGCATGCATTTTTCTCTGACCAGATCCTTTGTTGCTACTGCAAATGTGGCTTGTCTACCCTGCGCTGTGTTTCCTGACCTGTCCCCCGCAGGCCATGGTGGGGTACAAGAGAACTCTATGTAATTGTCCGAGTGGCTTTTTCTTTAGTGCCTGCCAATTTCTCATTTTTCAGATATAGAACTCTTGGCCCTTAATGATGTTTGTTCACATCTTTATAGTTTCACAGAAGTGATTCAGTCACTGTGCTATCATCTTTGGGAAGGACCAGGGCAGCTTTATTTTCACTGGGGTATGCTTTGAGTAAAACCAAGATGTCCCATAATTTTAATATCATCTGTTCCTTTATAAATCTCATATACAGATTTTAGTATGACCTCTTATTAGCCTTATTACAACAGTATCAGGTAGGGATGAGAGAGATATTATCCTCATTTTAGACATGAGAAACTAAACATCATTAGTACTTAGTTACATAGCTAGAACTCACATTATTACTCAGTTTTTTTGTCTGCCTCAGAATAAAGAAATTATGGCCTGGCTAGTATCTTCTGGGAGATAAAAAGTAACTTCATATGAAAATCTCAAGTAAAGCCTAAGGACCCCATAGGAAAGGACCCGATAGGAGGTGCAAGGTTGGGAATTAACTCCAGTATACTCTAGGAAACAGGAGTTATGTCTTAGTTTATTTCTGTTGTGAAATTTCCTGATAGAGTAGGAATAGAAGGCATCTAAGAATTTTGTATTTCAGATTGGTCAGGAATATGTTACCTTCTAGGATGATGGACATTCTCTTCCTGCCTTAGATATTTAAGGATTTCTCAGCACTCTGATGCTTCCCTCCCACTTAGGTGTCACTGCTGCCTCAGTTATTCCTCTTCCCCCTTCATAATGGTCTCTTTGGAAAGGATATTCTCTAGAGGGAGCTCCTGATTCACACTAGAGAAGTTATACCAAAACCACAGTTTTTACTCTTCTTGGAAGAGTGGGAGAAGGTATAACAGGGTGGTAGCATTTTATTTCAAACGTGAAGGATGAGTATAGGCATTAACCAGTACATTTCTTAGTATTTTTGTACCTTTTCATTCTTTCTGCCAGTCCAATACATTTTTATATTATTATAACTACAGAAAAAAGTATTCTTTTTCTATAACTTCAGAAAATGGGCCCCAGTGCACCCACTATTCCAGAAGGAAGACCTGCACTTAATGTGGAATAATCCTTAGCGTAACAATAAGGAGAAAGGTGTTAATTTGGCCTGTTGCAAAAAAAAACCTCTGCTATAGTTCATATATACCTAACTTCTATCTGTATCTTATTCCTTCTCTTATAATGTTTTCTTACATTGATCACTTTTTCTTTTCACATACACATACACACACACACACACACACACACACACACACACAAAACCACACACAGAGTAGTCCCTTGTTATCTCTAGTTTTACTTTCAGTTTCAGTTGCACGTGGTCAATCATAGTCCAAAATTATTAAATAGAAAAATCCAGAAATACACAATTCACAAGCTTTAAATTGCTCTCCATTCTGAGTAGTGTGAGAAAATCTTGCACTGTTTCTCCCAGAACGTGAATCATCCCTTCATCCAGTATATCCACTCCTAGACACTATCCATCCCTTAGTCACTTAGTAGCCTTCTTGGTTATCAGATTGACTATCGTGGTATTGTAGTGCTTCTGTTCAAGTAGCCCTTATGTTACTTAATAATGGCCCCAAAGTACAAGAGTAGTAATTCTAGCATATAATTATAATTGTTCTATTTTATTAGTTATTACTGTTAAACTTTTACTGTGCTTAGTTTATAAATTAAACTTTAATGTAGCTATGGATGTATAAGAAAAAAACATGATATATGTAGGGTTCAATACCATTCATGGTTTCAGGCATCCTGGAATTGGGGGGCCTTGAAACATATTCCCCATGAACAAAAGGGAACTTCTGCATGTGTATGTGTGTGTGTGTGTGTGTGTAGTGTGTGTGTGTGTGTGTGTGTGTGTGTGTCTAATCATAAATGCTCCCAATTCTGAAATTCCTTTTCTCTTTTCTGCTTTTCTGTAGGAACCTTGTATGGCTTCTTCTACAGGTCCCTCTTTAAAGACCCTTTTCAATATTCAAATTACAGCATTTGAATTTTTAAAGATCCCACACCTTGTTAATGACGAACAAAAAGTATTCCCTTGCTTTATCCTGTCATTACTAATTGCAATTTCATATCTTGTTTTCCTCAGTTAGATCTGTGAATATTGGAGTAGTTTTCTGACAGCATCTCAAAAATAACGTAGGATAAACACACATGCCATTTCTAATAGGTCCGCACCTTGAGTAGTGATAAACTTCTCTTCCAAGAGCTCCTAGCACTGTAGAATTTAACCACCTGCTATAAAATTTGTCCAATGAACATCTTGAATGATTACACTTGACGTCATTTCATTAACTTAATGGAGTAGACATCATTCACTACAGTCTTCCTCACTATCTGTATTCTAAAAATACTCAATGTCATGTAGATCACAATGTACCAGGATCTCTGTGTGTCTGTGACCATAGTGTATATCTTTCTTTGTACCATAAATACCTAGCACAGTGACTGAGGATTACCAAACACCCAAGAAATATTGATTGAATGAAGAAAATTAATGTAGTGTTAATACATAAATAAATCAATCAATAAATGAATAAATACAGCTATCAAATAATTCTGATGTTTTCTTCTCTTTCACACCTACATCCTTTCTTCACTGGCTACTTCCACTCAAATCTTTGCCATCCTAAATTAGCCTACATTTTTGCATATAACCCATTGACAAATATCCCTCCTTTCAGTAACCCACAAAATTTTAAAAAGTGTAGTCAAACCTTACCGCCTCCACTTACTTTCTGTCTATTCCTTAATCACTCCAGCTATTGCTTGCATCACCTCGTTGAAATGACAATCCTGAGAATACTCAAAACATTTTGATTACTAAGCTCCAGGACCAGTGTCAAATCCACTTTCAAACAAAATTCGCACTTCATTTGACCTTGCTGAACACTTGGTCATTATTAGAACTGTACTGCAGTGGCTCCCAAGATACTACTTTCTTCTGGTTCTCACAGTTTTGACTTTCTTTTTCTTTTAGTTCAGTGGACTTTTTCCTGTGATACTTCTTTAACACTGATGTTTGGCTTTATATTTCTCCTTCGTCTTTTATGCTCTCTCCCTGAATCATCTCATCAATTTCTAAGATTTCTATAATTACCTAGCTATACATGGCAGGCTTCTCAGCTATATCCACCCAGCCTCATCTCCCTTCTGATTTTCAGGCATGTATTTATTGACATCGTATTTGATAGCTCAGCCTATAACACCAGTTCCTACAATTCAATATCTAAGTGAAATTTTTCTGTCTCCTCTTTACTTCAATAATCCCCAATATGCCACTTGTCCTGGAAATATTGCTTTTATGACATTCTGCTCTTTGTGTTGGCATCACTATTGATCTAGAATAGAGACTTTTGAGTCAGCTTTGATTCTTGTTTCTTCTTCATCCCTAACATTTAAATTCCATCCTCTTACTGTGGCTTCTATTTACCCAGTTCATCACACCAGCCTCTGCATTGTTCCTAGAACAAAGATGAGTAAATTCTTTCTTCTTAAAAACAAAACAAAAGAAATAAAACAAAAATTTGATAGCTCAACATTACCACATGCCTATTGTACTAGTCAGGGTTCTCCAGAGAAACAGAACAAGTGTGAAATATATAACTGAGAAGACTACTAAGTAAGTACAGAGGGTTGGTTTTTAAACATCCTCAAGTTTTACTATCTAAATTTCCAAACTATAAAGTATCTAAAAGGTTTCTGTGCCCAGAAAACAATTTGAATGGTTATCTTTGCTAGTAGGCACTTTCTGTAAGGAACCAAAATGAGAAATTCATTTATTAATGTAAATATACATAGATGGATGGTAGTAAACAAAGCAATAAACATTAAGGCCTTGCCATGTGTGTAGCACCTACTTGATACTAGGAAGGAAAGAAGAAAGTATAAGAGGAAGTTGGCAGGAAAGAGTAGATGTATTATTTCTTATATTTTATATGCTCAAGTATTTCTGTGTGTTCATAAGAGTGAGAAATCACATAAGTCTGGATGGTCATGAAAAGAAACAATAGAAGAGGGAATAGTCATTGATTGTGATGATAAGATTGTACACTGGATGTTTAATTAAAACATTTCATTCCAGGAAGAGATAGGCAAATGGGATGGTTGTTACCTTGGTACTTCAGAAAAATGAATTTATTTTTCTATGGTGAAAGGATATTTTTCTTAAAAAATAATTCAATGATGCATTTTTGCTCTTTCTTTGCTTCTTATTGAAATGCTTATTACTAGTAACTATTTGAATATCAAATGTGTGTGCCTTTTGTGCACTTTCCAGAAACTTCGTTCTTTAATAATTCTGCTGTGCAATGGTCAACTGTTTAGTCTTCAATTAGACATGATCTGTCCAGCAGATGTAGGGGTTACATTTCAATGTGAGATTTGAATTATAATTATCCATCACACTGGAACAATAATAGTTCTAATCAATCTGTTTTTATTTCATCACATTTTTAACTTCTCTGTTTTTACATAAGGTTGCCGTTACCACCTGGGGCTTTTTCAGGACTCTGGAAGAATCAGGAAGCATTCAAGCATTTATACTTTGAAAAATTTCCAGTAAGAACTTTAGTATGCCTTTTCATCTTCATATGTATTTTTCTATAATTCTTGCCTATTAAATTGAGAAACTTGTTTCTAGAATCATAGATGGAAAAGAAACTTTTAAAAGTTGTCTGGACCAGTTCCCAGCTCTCAGAGATAAGAATGCCTACCTAAATCACAATTGTCTAAATAAATCATTTTTATATTTATAATCAGCCTCTGGACATAGAAATTTCTTAGTTTTTCTTAGCAGCTTTCCTAAAATTTAACAGTCCTCAGTACCAGGACATTTTTTGTTAAAGAAATTTGAGGGGCAGGATTTGCTATATTATTTCCTTTATTGGTTTCCTCTGTGCCAACAGATAGCAACTAATCAGAATTATACAATGTCATGAAGACCCCTTAACCTCCTCTTTACCTGGCTATGTGACCAAAATTCATTCAGCCTTCCCAGAAGTTGTATTTTTCCATGTCTTTATTTTTGACATTTTTTTTCCTGAATATTCTCTGAACTCTTAATTTAAAATTCCATTTTAAATATATAGATACAGGATAGAAACAGTGCTTTCGAAGCCCAATCTCCAGGGCCCTGGATAACAAAGTCTTCCTGTTCCATGTTTCGTCCTTAGCTTGTTGCTCCATGCCAGGGTGGTGTGGGTTGTGTTCATAACAGCAGCACATTGATGATACATGGCAGGGTCCCACCATCATCTTTGTATTGTCCTTTCACTGCTACTTCTTTCCCCAAGAGTGATACCTGGTCCTCATCATGCACTCAGTAAAAAGGAATGACCAGAATTTTATACGAAAAGTTTGTCCAAGTATTTAGCATTCCGTCTTTATTATTTGTGAGTGAAGGACACAACTAATCAACTAGACAAATGATAAGAATTAAAATAGCTTTCTTTAGAAAGAGATCCCAGAGGTGAATGACCTCAGCAGCCAAGATTAAGCATGCCCCTGATAGACTGTGGCAGGGGAGATTTGTCAGTATGGCTGACTCCAGTTAGCCCAATCTATCCACCTGATGGGCCACGGTTAAAACATTACAGGATAGGTACTGCTATGATTAACTATAACCTTACAATAGCAAATGATTTGCATGTGGTTTTAACATGATCGCCTTTAACATGGAAAGCTCCCTGAAAACCCCAGTTTATGGTTAAACTATATGAAGTGACTGTATACTCTGTCTTGTTACCTTATCTGAAACCTCTTTTTCGAGAGTTTAATACAATAGAAGAACTGAGTAATTTGCCCAGAGTTCACATAGAATTGACGGAGCTTAGATTTGAATGGAAATGGTAAGGCTCTGAAGTTCATGCTCTTAAGTACTAATTACTCTAGGTTGCCTGTCTAATAGGAGTAGCAGTAGTCAGTGTAGTAAAAGCTGCCAATTATTAAGGGCTCATGATGTGCCAGATTCTGTCCTCTAGACTTTATATGCACTGTTTCGTGTCTAATTCACAGAAGCCCTATAGGGCAGAGCTCATTACCCTATTTAACAGATGCACATCATGGATCTCAGAAAGTTTAAGAAATACAAAGAGTGACTTGCCAGGATTTTTACTAAGCATAGGTATCAAGATAATTCAGAAGCACTAAAGAAAGTAATAATTCTTTGTTTCTATTTCTTACTCTTATTGATTCTTCATTCTATTGTGATTTCTGGACCAGCAAGAATGTGCTACTTTGAGTTGAGTAAAAATTAAATTTCATGCTTACTATTAAATTTCACTGAAGATTGAATCCAATGCTAATCCGTGTTACTAAACTAGTGCTCTATTTGGTAATTATTCACAGGGCGCTTTAAAGCCTTTAAAAATTAATACAATTAAAGAAGAAATCTATCAAAGAATTACTTTGCAATACCAAAGTATATTAAAAATATTGAGCTATTACTTCTCCATTTAAAAAAAGGAATTGGGTTCATAAACTTTACAACTCTAAGTTCAAACACTTAACTTGAACATACATAAAAATGCTTTAACTTATTTTTGCCTGTTGGAGGAATGAAGAGATTCTAGTAAATCTTCAAAATAAAAAGTAATTTAATTTCATAGTTCTAATTATGAAAAATGTCAAATGTACACAGTAAATCTATTTCTATGGCACTTTGTACTTTACCAAGTTTAAAAATAATTACATAACCCAAAATGCTGACCAACCATTATTTATTCTTGTTTTCAGGGATACTATGATACCATGGATGCTGGTTACATGGATGAAGAAGGCTATTTATATGTTATGTCTCGAGTTGATGATGTAATAAATGTTGCAGGTCACAGGATTTCTGCAGGTGCCATTGAAGAGGTATTGATAAATATTGGCATTTTATTCCAAGTACTCTTTAGAAATAGAGATAAAGTGAAGACAATATTGAGGTTAAGTTATTCCACCTGGAAAATTACCTCACCCTTCATTTGTAGCAGAGATTAAGTTACTCTTATAGCTCTCTTGCCTCACTTCCTCTTGTGTAGATTTTCATATTCTCCACATTCTCTCTATTCCTGTTTGGGTCATAGTAAGGAGTTTTAACCACTTACATATATATGTTTGTATGGGAGAGCCTACATACATTTCCTACTTCCTACTTGTTACTTGATTGCTTCTAGCTTCTTGATCTACTCCTGCTTGATAATCAGATTTGCATATGGTCTTTAAGTGTTGTGAGAATTAAACATTTCACTATACCCTTAAATCCTGAGAATTTTTCTTCCAATGTAAATCACATAAAGTCCCCAGAAATTTTTTTTAATGTTTCAAATTTACAGAGAAAAAATACTTTGTTGTACAATATCATGAGTTTTATGCTTGTATAGATTATTGTAACCATCATCACACAAAATATACAGAATGATTTCAACACTGTCAAAGAATTTTCTCATAATGTCACCTTTGTATTCTGACCCTGGTAATCACTGTTTATCCTTTGTTCCCATATTTTTGTCTTTCCAAAAATTTTATATAAATGCATTATACCATATGTAACCTTTGAGACTGAGTTACTTCATTTAGGAAAATGCATTTGAGATCCATCTAAGTTATAGCATGTATAAATAGTTTGTAAATTTTATATTGCTGTGGAGTATTCCATTGTGAGGATGTACTAATAAATTTATGTACCTATTATGTACCATTGAAGGACTTATGTATTGTTTCTAGTTTTGGGCAATTACAAAAAATGATATTGTACACATTCAAGTGCAAGTTTTTGTGTAAAACATTGTTCTCATTTCTCTAGGATAAATATTTATAGTGGAGTTACTGGGTTATATGGCAAGTGTATGTTTAAGGTTGTAAAAATCTACCAAATCTTTTAGAGTGTGACTATGCTATTTTATATACCTACCAACAATGCTTGAGGGTTCCTATTTGTCCCATCCTTTCCAGAACTTGGTAGTATATTTATTCTTTATTTAAGCCATTCTAATAGGTGTGTAGTTGCATCTCATTGTGCTTTTAATTTGGATTTCTATAATAAATGATGTTGAGCAACTTTTTAAATGTTTATTTACCATCCATACATCTTCTTTGGTGATATATCTGTTAAAATTTTTTGTCCATTTTTAAAAAATTGTGTTGTTTGGTTTTTTTGTTTCTAAGTTTTAAGAGTTCTTTATATTTTCTGGATACAAGTCCTTTATTTGATGTGCAATTTGCAAATATTTTCTTCTAGATTGTGGCTGGTCTTTTTATTTGGTTAAAATTGCCCTTAACAGAGCAAAAAAGTTTTTCATTTTGTTGAATTCTAATTCACGAAGTTTTTCTTTTACAGATCATAATTTTGGTGTTGTATCTAAGAACTCTTTCTTAACCCAAGGTCACAAAGACTTTTTCTTTTGTTTTCATCTAAGAGTTTTATAGTTTTATGTTTACATTTAGTTTTATTGTTTTATAGCTTATATAATTTAAAATTTACATTTGGATTAATTTTTTTTCATATAGTGCAAGATTTAGGTTGAAGAATTATTTTTTTTTATTTCAGCATATTATAGGGGTACAAATGTTTAGGTTATGTGTGTTGCCTTCGCCCCCCTTTCCCCCCCCCGGAGTCAGAGCTTCAAGCGTGTCCATCCCCCAGATAGTGTGCATCCTACTCATTATGTATGTATATACCCATCCCCTCAATAAATGTTATTCCTATATGTCCACTTAGGTGTTGATCAGTTAATATGAATTTGCTGGTGAGTACATGTGGTGCTTATTTTTCCATTCTTGGGATAATTCACTTAGTAAAATGGGTTCCAGCTCTACCCAGGAAAATACAAGAGGTGCTATATCACTATTGTTTCTTATAGCTGAATTGCACTCCATGGTATACATAAATACCACATTTTATTAATCCACTCATGTATTGATGGGCACTTGGGTTGTTTCCACATCTTTGCAATTGTGCATTGTGCTGCTATAAGCATTCGAGTGCAGGTGTCTTTTTTTATAGAGTGTCTTTTGTTTTTGGGTAGATGCCCAGTAGTGGGATTGCTGGATCAAATGGTAGATCTACTTGTATCGCTTTAAGGTGTCTCTATATTGCTTTCTATAGAGTTTGAACTAGTTTGCAGTCCCACCAGCAATGTAGGAGTGTGCCTATCTCTGTGCATCCATGCCAACATTTATTGTTTTGGGACATTTTAATAAAGGCCATTCTCACTGGAGATAAGTGATATCTCATTGTGGTTTTGATTTGCATTTCCCTTATGATTACAGATGTTGAGAATTTTTCCATATGTTTGTTGGCCATTATTCTGTCTTCTTTTGGAAAGTTTCTGTTCATGTCCCTTGCACACTTTTTGATAGGGTTGTTTGATTTTTCCTTGCTGATTTTCCTAGGTTCTAAATAGATTCTAGTTATCAGCCCTTTATTGGATGTATAGCTTGTGAAATTTTTTTCCCATCCTGTAGGTTGTCTGTCTGTTCTTGTGACATTTTCTTTGGCTATGCAGAAGCTTTTTATTTTGATCAGGTCCTATTTATTTATTTTGTTGCTGCTGTGATTGCCTTTGGGGTCTTCTTCATAAATTCTTTGCCTAGGCAAATGTCTAAAAGATTATTTCCAGTGTTTTCCTCTATAATTCTAATAGTTTCACACCTTAGGTTTAAGTCTGTTACCCTGCATGAGTTGATTTTTGTGAGAGGTGAAAGGTGTGGATCCTGTTTCAGTTTTCTAGATGTGGCCATCCAATTTTCCCAGCACCATTTATTGAATAAGGATTCTTTTTCCCAGTGTATGTTTTTGTCTGCTTTGTTAAAGATTAGATGGCTATATGAGGATGGGTTTTATATCTAGGTTCTCTGTTCTGTTCCACTGATCAGTGTCCCTGCTCTTGTGCCAGTCCCAAGCTGTTTTAATTACTATAGCCTTGTAGGATAGTTTGAAGTCTGATAATTTGATACCTCCTATTTTGTTTTTATTGCCTAGGATTGCTTTTGCTATACAGGATCTTCTCTGGTTCTATACAAAGCCTAAAATTATTTTTTCTATATCTGTGAAAAATGATGATGGTATTTTAACAGGGATGGCATTGACTCTGTAGATCACTTTGGGTAGTATTGACATTTTAACAATGTTGATTCTACCGACCTCTTCCACCTGTTTATATGGTATGGCTTCCACCTGTTTATATCCTCTGCTATTTCCTTCCTCAGTGTTTCATAGTTCTCCCTGTAGAGGTATTTTACCTCCTTAGTTAAATATATTCCAAGGTACTTTATTTTCTTTGTTGTTATTTTGAAGGGAATTGAGTCTTTGATTTGGTTTTCACTTTTACTGTTATTGGCGTATATGAATGCCTCTGATTTGTATGTATTGATTTTGTATCCTGAGGCTTTACCAAATTCATTTTTCAGTTCAAGGAGTCTCTTGGTTGAATCCTTGGGGTTTTCTAGATATTATATCATATCATCAGCAAAGAGTGAAAGTTTGATCTATTCTGCTCTCATTTGGATACCCTTAATTCTGCTCTCTTTCTTGATTGCTATAGTAAAGGCTTCCAGCACTATGTTGAATAGAAGTGGAGATAGTGGGCAACCTTGCCTTGTTCCAGTACTAAGTGGGTTTGCTTTCAATTTTTCCCCATTCAGTATGATGTTGGCTGTGGGTTTATCATATATGGCTTGTATCATTTTTAGGTAAACCCCATCTATACCTATTTTGTTAAGCATTCTTATCATAAAAGGGTGTTGAATTTTGTCAAATGCTTTTTCTGCATCTATTGAGAGGATTATGTGGTCTTTGTTTTTGCTTCTGTTTATGTGGTGAATGTAATTACATTTACAGTTTTGTGTATGTTGAACCATCCCTGCATCTCTGGGATGAAGCCCACTTGGTTGTGATGGATTATTTTCTTGATAAGCACCTGGATTCAGCTAGCTAGGATTTTGTTAAGAATTTTTGCATCTATATTCATAAGGGATATTGGCCTGTAGTTTTCTTTTTTTGTGGCATCCTTTCCTGGTTTTGGTGTCAGGGTTATGTTCGCTTCATAAAATGTGTTGGGGAGGTTTCCATTCTTCTCAATGTTGTGGAATAATTTCTCCAGTATAAGCACCAGTTCTTCTTTGTAGGTGTGGTAAAATTTGCGTGTGAAACCATCTGGTCCAGGACTTTTCTTTTTAGGAAGGATTTTTATTGCTGTTTCAATTTCAGTACTTGATATTGCTCTGTTCAGAAATTCTATCTTCCTGGTTGAGCCTAGGGAGGCTGTGTATTTCTAAGAATTTGTCCTTTTCCTCCACATTTTTCAGTTTGTGTGCATAAAGGTTTTTGTAGTATTCATAAATTATATCTTGTATCTCTGTGGCATCAGTTGTCATTTCTCCTTTATTGTTCTTGATGGAGCTTATTAGATGTTTTTCTTTTCTGCATTTCATTAGTCTAGTGAAAGGCATGTCAATTTTGTTTATTTTTTCAAAGAATGAGGAATTGTTTTTTAAAAATGGATTCAAATTTTTCCAACATCATTTGTTGAAAAGATTGCCCTTCCTCCATTGAATTGGCTTTCATCTTTGCCAAAAATCAGCTGATAATTTTGAAGTGGGTCTGTTATTAGAGTATGCTGTCTGTTTCATTGATCTATATGATCATCTTTTCACCAATACTATGCTGTTTTGATACTGTACTTTTTAGTAGATCTTAGTCAAATAGTGCGAGTCTTCCATATCTGCTTTTCTTTTTCAGTATTGTTTTGGCTATAGTTTTCTTTATTAGTTCCATATATATTTTAGAATATGATTTCCTATAGCTACAATAAATCCATACCTAAATTTTGAGTGAGATTGTGTTATATTTAGAGATTAGGAAAAAATTGATA